TGTGTGTGTGTGTGTGTGTGTGTGTGTGTGTGTGTGTGTGTGTGTGTGTGTGTGTGTGTGTGTGTGTGTGTGTGTGTGTGTGTGCGCGCGCATTTATGGCCACCTATGCTTCCAGTTCCTGAGTTTTGCTGTTGGATGATGTGGGCATCATCAGCTCCTGTTGCACTATTAGTATCTGGCTGCACATTAAACTGCTGTTTAAGTCCCTCTGCTTCTTTCTGCCTTGTCCACTCATGCATATTGCAGAAGGTTTCTGTGTTTGTCTTTGTGTCTCTTTCTCTTGCCCTGCACTGTTTGGACTCTCACTCATCACTCTTGCACTGGATCGCAGGCTCTACTGTTAGCGCTATTGTTCTCAGAAGAGGTATTCTTTTTCTGTGGCATTGCCAGTTCACTGCCCCCATTTTCACATTTTCTGTGTGATGAGGCATTACAATGGATGAACAATATTCCTTTAGAGAGTGGTTCATCGCTTCTTAGTGGCTCTTCTCCAACTGCGGTCAAGGCCAAAAGCAGTTCGGAAATGTTGTCATCACATCTCATGAGCATGGACAGAAAAGCAAGACAGAACGAAAGAGGAAAGAGAGAAAGAAAGAAAGAGAATGAAGAAGGGATGTAACAGACTGTGGGAGTTTTACAGCATTATCTGCTCTTTGCATGAGGTTGCGTTGTCACATATTTCAATAATGTGTCTTTTCTGGTTGGCTGCGCTCAGCTTAGTGCAGACACTTGTAGCGGAAGACGTGAATGGGCCAGAATTCAATTTTGCACTTGAGTAGTGTCCAAGCAAGTAAATTGGAAACTGTGAATTTTTACAGAGATTTCGCAAATGTAAGACATTAATATTCCTACAATGAACCTTCTGCTATGCTTAAAACAAACAAAGCCGCCCTGGCACAGGATGAAACAAGGGAAAGCTGCCAAGCAACTGCACAATATCAGTACAGAAGATCTCTGGGCTTGAGTTAGACTGTTTGACTGGCAAAGGCCTCCAGCTTGAAATCCTGTAGTTGGAAGAGTGTGGCGCTATGAATCAGCTGTGATCCTGCTGTGTGTAATTTTACAGTGGGAAGGAACATTTATTAATATGTTTTTCTTTTGTGTGTTTTCGATAAAGGTTCAGAGCTGTAGGCTCACGACGTATGTTACAAATGGGTGTAGTTTTTTTTCCCCCATGGTGGGAGAAGGGCCAGGAGGGATACTGGAAGACTCCTGCAGAGAGAGACTAATTTACACACTTACAGTACATAACCTGGATCCAATTAGGCAGTGAAAACACTCACAGCAGCCTACGCGCATATTCAATTCTGTTTGTATAAATGATCATGAGAGTGTGCGCTTGCTATTGTCTGTTCAAGTTACACGTGTGTCGCAGCAGAACCCTGAGCACACACGACCATAGATCACATTTTAGGCCAGGATCCACTTGGCACCTCTGTTCCCCCAGCCCCAGGGTCATTTCATTGGTTTAATGAATGCTGTACCTTTGCTCGCTGGACGACGTCAGTCTCCTTGATAGACAGCTCTGGGTCCCTCCATTCCTCCAACCTGACACCACCAAGCAGATGGAGCGGAGCCTAAGTGGGCTGCTGCTAGCTTTGCCTTGGCTAATAATATAATAGCCTGGCATTAACCATGTTGAACTAGCCACTGTGCGTAGCGCCAAGCAAATGAGCAGCGCAGCTGGGCCATCATGGCAAGTGGCAGAGCAGACAAAGCCCAGGAGGCACAGAGGCAGAAAAAAAGGTAGTTTAGCACAATCCCTCCAGACGCAGCTTGTGAATATTCATCAGTCAACCTCTCCATCCCCACCTCCCCAAATCCAGCGCTCTCACCAAATGTATTATTCAAAAGAAGCATTTTCACTATTAAATACTATAAATAAGTAATGACATCTGGTAACAGTTTTTGTCTGCTGAATTAATGACAGGAGCACAGTTGAGTATCTTCCAGTGATTGGAGAAATTATTCCTGAAGGTGGATTTTTGTTAAGCCTTCCTTTCCCCTTTGTCTTGCCAGTTCAGTGTGTTGCCTCTTTTGTTAAACTCATTTGGCACATCAGTAAATCTGAATTGGCCCATGTCTCTATCATTCACCTTCTAAAACACCCAAGAGGAGAAGCAAATACTAAGAAGCTGCTTATTTTACCATTATGTCTGCATTTCCTTGCCTGAGCTAATCTTCGGAAAATGAAAAGCTCCCTGTTGGCTCTTTCTGTGGTTTCAGCACTGGACAGCGCCTGAAGAATTGCCTGTTTTGTCTACCTCATTGTTTTTCTTTCCTGCCTAACAAAAACTCAACAGGGTTCCCACATCTTCACGCACATAGTGTACAACTGAAAGACGTCTTACTGAAAGATATCAGCTATAAAATGCTGGAATTATTGTTGTACAGACTGTATCTGTCAGACTCTGATGAGCTGGTAAACAGGGAGTGCTTGGAAAGCCTACAGATGGTCAATGTTTTCCACTCATGTGTGCTCCATTTCCCAAAGGAGAAACCCACATTTTTGTTGTATGTGACAACAAAAGTGTTCGATTTTAATCTGTAGCGGTACAGAGGAGTCCCCTGGATCTGCTCGTTGATTTCCAGACAGGAAGATCATAACTAAAGCTTGAGAAACACAAGACATAAGTGGGGAGAACAATAAGAAGGACGTCTTGTTACCAAGAGTGATTTCTGTCTGTCTTCCTCTACTTTAGCCTGCCGCCTGGATTCTACACAGTGGGGCTATTTATGAAGCCGAGGCACCAGTATGATACTTATAAAGCCCTCCTCGCTAATAACAGATCTAGCTCTGGGGTTCCTGAAACCAATCACAGGGATTTATGGGAGAGAATTGGAAAGTAGTAAAATTAATTTTATTCAGAACCTTTGCACCCAGGTTAAGCTTATCCATGCACGCTGCTGCCAGGTGGGGAGCACATTATTTTAGTTCTGCAGCTGTTGATATTGGTTAGCACTTTTGAGCCACACAAAATAAGACACAATGTGATTTTCCCTGCTTGGTGTTATTCACGCAAATGTTGAATGGCAAATGTTGAAAAACCATTATGTTCAGTAGTCCTTAGTGCATGATTTCTGGAAATTTTTTTGGCTTCAGAAGGTTTCTTGTTGGTTTATTTTGTCATTGTAAAAAATAATAATAAATCAGTTTCGCTTTTTATTCTGTTCCCCATCCAGGAAAAGATAGGTTTCTGTAACCCTCCTGTCTGTCTCCCTAGAGGCAAAGAACTGTGAATCATATTTTTCTTAAAGGTTTTTATTGTTGTGGTAATATTGGGTTTTACTCTTGTTCACAGTTCTTCTGATGAAGCAGCTCTGCTCATTTTAATGAATCCAGACGCTCTCACAAATTAGATTAAAATATAACCGTCTTGGACTATGACAATCACATAAAAGTCACTCTAAAAATATAGTCTAAACTTTAATATGTAAATCTACTCTGACAGAAAGCCCAAACCAAGCCTTCTTATGTTGTATTTTATAGGGTGTGATCAAAATTCAGAGAACAGGTCCATAAAAGTCA